ATAACTATTTTATTCTATTTTTATCTATTTCGTCGAATAAACGTACTCTAATGGCATGTTTGGTGTAGGGAAATAGTTAAGCCATTCCCCCCTTATTCCTTTCTATTTTTATGTTTTTGTTTGGTTAGTTTTTGAGGTGGGGAATAGCCATTCCAAGTAATGGCTATTCTTCAAAATCTTGGTTTAGCCGTTCCTCACCTCCCTATGTTAATGGCTATTCCATGACTATGGAATAGAGTCAAAAATTTATTGGACAAAAATGTCTCTATTTATTGAAAATAATTACAATCTACAAATAGAAAATAAAAATAAAAAAGTATAAAGAAATTAAAATTAAAATTAAAATATATTAATAAATTAATAATAAATTATTGATGTTTAAATTTTTGATGAAAAATATAAATTAAAAGATTAAAAAATGAAAATACAAAAAGAGACAAAATAAAAAGAAATTGAAAAAAATCATATTAATAGTTTAATAATAAATTGTTAATATTTTAAATTTTAATGAAAATAAAATTAAAAGATTAAAAAATAAAAATATTGTTAAATTATAATAATGAATAATTGTTTGGTTTATTAAATTATAATAAAAGGTAATTTTGTCATTTTATCATTTATTCTTTAACTATTCCAAAGCTATTCCTTCTTAGTAAATTATAATATCAATTTCTACTCTATTCTATTCCATGAACCAACCAACATAATTATTATTTTATTTTATTCTCACAAAATAAATATTTTATTTTATTCCGTAAACATAGTAAATCTTATATAAAGGAGAATGGTTTATGGTTTTCAGGAATGACCATGACAGTAAGGTTCGGCCCATAGTCAGTATATTCTTAAAACCAATCCAATTATGTATTGGACTGCAGGGCTTTTACATTATAATTAATGGCTCACGTGTCTCCTGGGCCTGCTGGAGCCTTCCTAAGAAGATTTGCATAGACAAGGCTTTCTGTTTTGTTCTATTTATTGGTTATAATAGAAAGACTATTATGAGATTTGGTTGAAAATATATGTATCCCTATTAGTTTGAAAAATACTCTCTTATCTCTTCTAAGATTTGGTTAAAAAAACACTTTATCTTTCTGAAAAAGTAATGATATTAGTTACCAATTTGACTTTAAATGAAAAAAGACAATTATAATCAACTAATCGATTACGTTGTGAATTTTATAATTTTGATATCATTTTGAAAATTTTGAATTTGTTTATTATATGTTAATTTGATATATAAATTTTAAACACGTCATAAATTTTGAAGATTAAAGTGTGCATAAAATATATTAAGTACTTTTTGTTTGTTTACAAATATTTAAATAAGTAAAACTATTTTATGCACGGTAAGATCACAAGTTAGTATATTTATACATAAGGAGTGAAAGAGAGATTTTCTCCTAACTAATTAAATTTTAAAAAAATATAAAAGGGCATGGTGCTCGTGGTTACTTCAATGAATTGATTGCCAAGTGATAATCTTTTTAAATCAAACAGAGAAATAATAAGATAAGATATGCCAATCTACATTTTGTCTCTAAGCATTTTTCTTTCCTTTTCAAGAGATGTAAAGGTAAATCCTCAACCAAATAAATTTCTTGAGGATGAAATCATGCAAGATACGTAGCAGATTCAGTGCATAAATTACTTTTGTTTTCTCTTTTTATCAAGGAAAACGAAACTTGCTACGTACATTGACAAGCATGTATATATCCTTAAAGCTCTTCTTTGAGCCCAAGATGATTGAGTATTAAAATACTAATACAATCTCACCTAACAAGATTGGGATTTGCTTCTAAATCCTGATAAGCATAAGGTTTAAAGACATTAATACTTTTTGTACATCGCAACTTGATTGGTGTAAGACCTTGTGGTTGCACTCTATTTCCATTAAATTATTTGCTGTATATTTATGACAAAAATCTAGCTAGTGCCTTTTTCCTGTAGGCGACGACTGTTGAGTTTAAAGTTGACTAGAATTCTATATTTTATTTGATTAGAATTTTAGTTTATGTACAACATTAAGTAGTTGTATAGTTTTAAACTTCTTATTCCACATAGAATCCTAATCACATTCTACTTTAGACTTTTATACTATAAAAGTATATCTTTAGGCTTTAGAATGGTAAGTAGTGCTTTGAGAGCTTTAGAGAAGTAACACTTTGTAACTCTGTCTTTTACTCTAGGTGGAGCTAGAGTGGTTTGGATGAGTGTTCTTGGGAAGAAAGAGTGTACAAGGAATCTTGGGTTGGTTTGGGGAGCCATAGAGGTCAATTTATTGTACTTTAATTTCTCAATAATATAAGAATAGTTTCACTTCGTGGACGTAGGCAAGAGACTGAACCACGTAAATTCTTGTGTTTTTCTGTTTGCTTGATTTTTTTTAGTCTTATTTTTGTTATTTCTTGGGTAATTTCCACAACAGCGACATTTTCTGTATGGCTTGCTCTACACACTTTTATATTTATCTACAAATTGAAAATGAACTACTGACAGTCACAGGAGGTCTATCTCCACACACTTAATGTTATTTAAATACGAAAATGTTATTGAGTGCATATAGGTGTTAGCTAAGATCATATTTATAAAAAGGAATTTAAAAATTAATATGGTTTTTTAAATTTAATGAGAATAATACATTAAAAAGTTAATTATGTATTTAGCACTCAAATTATTATTAAACATTCGATTTAAAAATTCAGTATTCAAAAGTTACTTTTTGTTAAATAATTTCTACAAGAGTAGTTTAATTAGTCATCATTTAGGTAACGTGTTAAAGAATAGTCAACAAGAACAAGTCACATGTCTGATGTCTGATGTTTATTGGCTGCTTTTTTATCACGTTATCCACTTGATGAGTAGGGTTATCAAGGTGTGTAGGCTTAATGGAATGGACTTTGGAGTATTTGTTGTGAGATTATTTTTTCCAAGTACCAAATCTATAATTTCGTATTATTTTAGTTAACCCTAACAAGGTACTCCTTAATCAGACTTTAACTATTTAGTAATAGGATTTGCCCTCGGCAGTTATTTGCAGGGAAAATATCAGTCCGAGTGCCCTGGGAAATCGGCAAGTTCAAACTTTTGGGCCAACAACACGTGGCGAATGCCCGAAAGGCTTGAAAGCCTGGGATGTTAATCATTTGATGAAAACCTGGGATAATTCCAATTATATATGCTTACTTATTCAACTGAAAAATTTTGTGTTTAATCATCATTGCAAGACTTGATTTCACCTTCACCAAACTTAGAAGATTGATTTGGCAAGCAACCGACCTTTTGAGAGTGTTTTAATTGTTAAAGATATCATCTAGTGTCAAATACATTGACTTTTTTTAATTTTTGATTATGATTATATATGGGTCTAGTAGTTTTTAAAATGAGTAATTTATTTTAAAAAATATTTTCAGGGGATACATAAGTTCTGTCGTTAGTCAACTTTTAATGTTTCTATTAGATTGATGATATAATAATATTTTTAAAATAATTTTATCTTTCATTAATTTTAAAAATTACTATTATATAAAGTATTTTTTATTTTAATTTTTTTTCTCTTTTTTGAAAGAATAACTCTCAACCCAGCCACTCCGTGGCAGATTGTAGGGAGCACCAAATTCTGAGGTGCACGGCCAGATCTCACACTCCCTTGGGGAGATCTAGCCGGATTTGGTATTCTATTGTCAGATTTAGTCACAAAGTAGTCAATCGGTGTAAAAGAGTGCCATTGATCGACCTGAAAAGAAAAGAAAAGAGTAAAAAAAGAAAATTAATATTTTAGATATTTTATTTTTAGGTATTAACATTGTTTACACATTTGAAGTGAACGGTTCATTTTAAAAATTAATGGAGTACAGGCAATTGTGGTCAAAAGTAGAGAATGTTAGTATATTTTACCTTATCATCTAATTAGATAATCTTGAATTTGTGGGAATCCTCACTTGACATAATTTATGCAGTTTTTGATAGTGTTAAATATAAATGGTAGTCATTTATGCCATACGAAAAGCATAAGCATATAAGAATTGGGATATATCTATAAACTGTTACTAAACTTAATATTATGAATTCGATGATAAATTAATGGAGGTTTTTTTTTTAATTCAAGAAAGAGGAATTCGAACTTTATTCTCCAAGTGAGGGATTATATATAAACTAATAAGTCAAATGCACGAATGCTGATAAATCAATTAATGGAGGTTCATTTTTTAAAATGTGGATGCTCCATTAATTTTTTTGATATTCTAATCTTTCTTTTTTATCTATTCTTTATTTTTATAGCCATTATAGTTTTTTTCTTGAAAATGTTTATAATTTATGATGATTTTGATAAAATAAATACAAATATCTATTTATATATACTCTTTTCCATTTTCCACTTTGGATTTGGAAATGGAGATTAAGGAAAATGATTTGATTTTTAATGTTTTTAATATTTTTTAAACAAATTTCATAACATTGTTAGTTATACTTTTTGATGTCAAAAGTTTAAAAAAATTATTAAAAGTTAATATGAAATATGGAAAATTATGACTTGCAAATGCTTTTTAAATAAGAAAAGCAGACATGATTACAAAACAGATTAAAACAGAAAAGTAAATATTCAATTTGAAATTAAAAAATATAACCTGACTGGCCACACAGAATATATGTAGCAATTTTTTAATAGCAAAACACGTAACTGTACTGGTCTTTTTTGCCCCCAAACTATCGGGCAATGCATGGCTGTCCATTTTTAGGAGGTAATAATTATAAATAGAAATTACAATAATAAATTTGAAAAAGGGAAAAAAAATAAGAATTAGTTAACTTTCGAATATATATTTGATAACCTATTTATGAAAAAAATCATTAATCCAATCAATCAAAATCAATATAAAATTAAATCAAATTCAACATGATGGGACTTTCATCAGCCCAAACTGTTGCTTTTGAAATTGGAAATTAATTAAACAGTTCCCGCATAGAACAGAAGCACGTCTAATTGCAGGTGATCAGTATAAAAAAACTAAAGATGACTTGAATTTTCAACTCCTCTTTAAAGAAGGGATGGGAATAAAGTACGTGCTAAGCAGGGCTACATATATATATATATATACATATATTTATATATATAAGCATATTCAGTAGAAGTATATAAACAGCCATATGGAATTCAAGTGTAACTACATGAAAAACCCTACTCTAAAAGCATTCAAAACCTCCCTTCACAAAAACTCAAAACACCTAACTCAACCTGTCGTCACAAGAGCAAAATTAACATGTCCTAAACAGCCATGGCGTTTAAAGTTCTTCCATCAAAACCGCGCCTACATGATCGAACATGCATTAGGATTTTCGTCACTAAAGAGAGTAACGAACTTCTCATCCATTGCATTTGGACTAGGCAAAGCTTGCACAGTGTTTTTAACATAGCCTGACGGTGCCTTCTTGTCATAAGCTTGAGCAACGTAAGGGTAAGCCACTAAGTTGTAAGGGACGTAGGGCCAAAACTCAGCTCTCTTTCCTGTACTCTTCACTCTCTTTAGCACCTTGTTTGGCTCAACGTATCCGGTCACGGTTACTCGGCTTTGCTTTCTGTTCACGTCAACTGATTTCGCACCTAAACAAGATTATAAGGCATAAAAAATATGACTTCATGGAATTTACTGAGAAAACAAATGAAAACAATGGAAAGAAGCAAATTGGGGTATAGTTTTAAAATATGTCATGACAAGGACAGAATAATTACGACGTGGAAGGGGTAGATGACGTAGCTGGTTTTGATTAAATCAATCGACGTTAAGGGTCTGTTTGGCTTGTGGGAATTGGTAATGCATTTATTGTGGCAGTCCAAGCCTCTCGGGTCTTTAATGTCTCCAAACAGAAAATAAAAGATTTTTCCAACTACTGTTTTGTAGTTTCCAGAAAAAACTTGTTTGTTCTTATCCTTATCAA